GGTGTATGGAGGATTTCGTGTTTGCTTGTGTTTTTATACGTTTTGTTCGTCGGGGTGTTTCCGTTTGTGTGTGAGTCTGGGTGTTTGGCAGCCCGGGTGGGGGGTGGTGGGTGGTACGCGGCGGGGCCGGGGGGGGGGGGGGGGGGTGGTACTCCTGGAAATTCTTGGTGGGGGTGTGCCGCCCGGAATCCTGACCCGATTTCAGACCAAAAAAGATGTAATTTTTCACACCCCTTTTACAGACTAGACAGCTAAAATCCATACCCTTTTTCAGACCTAGCCTTTAGGCGAAATCATGTTATGATTACTAAGATTAGAGTACAAACAAAAAATTCTTTAAATCCTTTTCGTATTCGCATATTTCCCTTTCTTTCTGACTCATTTGGAATTGAAACGATAAATTCGTTCATACACTCCCGTAGTTCCCTCAAAAACCATACCCGATTCCAGTCGACCACAATGGGCAAAGCCCTGCACCCGTTTCCAGACAAAACGCCGCAAAAACCTTACCCAATGGGGCGGTACATACCTATATAGCTTATATAAGAGAAAACCCCCCAGGACTTCGAGTCTGTAACATGAAATTATTTTATTGTATAGTATGGCAAATCAGGCTAATCACATGCAGCTTTCTCTGTAAACGTAGGTTAATCATTTAAAATAAGAGCAAGTGACGGGTTCGTACGGCCCTCAGGAAGGAAAATGCAGCTGTAACTAGCTCAGTGACAGTGCTATCATGCGATCAGGTGTCCTTCTTCCCTTTTTGTTTTGAAGACGGGGGAAAAGGTTCTTTTTTCCCCTTCCCGCGAAAAAAAAAACCGAATGATCGCAGGTTACGACAGTCCATGCCATCGCAATAAACAAGTTTCTTTAGTTTGATGGTTTGATGCGCTAATTGAATAATTAAATTTATGTTATCTACCATGACACAAACGTGTGATAAAATTTATCTCATTTATTTTAGTACGTATTGAACATATTAGTTCTGATTCAATTATATCTGCTCACTCAGTTTTTGGATCGGAATTAATTTATCATCTTTATTGTTGCTTCTCACTGATAAGTTTGTAAAATAGCATGAGTCGTTGTCAACTTTTTAACAATAGATAAACCTGAAAGCGGAGAGCGGCCAGATTTTGTAGTTGATTACTATTTTTTTGCTGTACAGAAAGACTGATGCAAAAACTGAAAATTACAAAACAAGATGGCGGATCCAACATTGAGGCAGAATAGGTCGCTGATTGGAACATGACGTAGTTCTGACGTTTCATGACATCACTACATAACTGATAATCTTAGACAGTAAATGGTTTGGACCCAGGAGTCATGTCATACAAATGTAATTAAGTTGAATATGATTGTCCGGGTGAGTGTTGTCCAGGCTAGAATAGGAATCTCGTTTGACTTGTTCATGACTTTCAACAACCTGTGCTTTATTCATCTTCAGAGTCACAGTGAGATATGATGTATCTTGTCAGGAATTACCTGATTGGTTAATTCACCCTTGTTGTTATTGGCAAGTGAATAGTGTATTTCCCGCCATCCCTTTTTTATCATGTAATAACGATCGTTTTACATTGTCAATTATTTGTCCAGTTTCCCTGATGTTGTCAGTCCACTGTCAACAACAGTTCTATTCAGGACTGACTACATTCACTTGGCGGACGGACATCCACTAGCTTATTTACGGACAGTCTCAGCAATTTCGGTTGCTCTTAGAACACTGTAAGTCTTAATAAGTCATAAGTCCAATTGGAGTGTGCAAAAGTTCCTGACGGAAATGCGCTTTTCATATGTCCACCTTTCATCTTGAACAAAAGTTATTTTTGACCTTTTCTTGGCACATGACAGAGAAGCAGGCAACGTATGTAAAGAGAATAATCTGTAATTGGCCGGTCTTAAAATGCAAATGTTATATCTTCACGAACGACAATTTTAACACCCAAAGAAACACCATGAACCAACTCAACCACGGGCTGATAATACGGATACGATTGAAACCCAATATTATTATGGAGCCGAGAAATAAGGAAATTATAGAGAAGGGTATAACGTCATTTTTTTAGTCTTAGCGACTTTCGAATACCGGGTCAAAAAACATCTAGAAACACTTACCAAGTCGACTTAACAGCCATATATGGGTAATAACGTTAGGGCTGAAACCGAATTATATTATGGAGCCTAGAAATAAAAAGATAGAGAAGGATTTATTGTCAAAACTTTTAGTTCTAGCGACTTTCGAATGCAGAAACGTGCTTCGACGGATATGGATGGGGAAAAAATTTGAATACTGATACTTCCTTAAAGTATTAGAAGAATGAAAATCCGGTGTAGCCAGAGATATTCTGAATCAGGAAAAAACTGTCAGCTTTCTTATTTTGGATACCTGGCCTCATGAAAGCACTGCATCATAAAGATGGCTTGCAGCCAGCTGATTGAATTGCTTAATCATTTATAATGTGATAAAAAAAATTTCGAGAAAGACTAATTGCAGTTTTGCTATTTAAGAATACTGCCAATAAAAGTAAGACAAAAATAATTACATTTTGACTTGAGGAACATTTTAACTTAAACGTTACTGATGTGACTGTAACATAATGCGTATATATTTTGGAATATATTTTGAAATTTCTTACGCTACGGGATTTTTCGTTGTTATAAGGGCCTTAAGTTTAAACAGGACACTTACATCAACGAGACACATCAGTTCAGGGCGTTGCATCTTAGTATCATTCTCTATTCTCGTAATTTGATTTATTTATCGCCCTTAATCAGCAAACCAAGTAGCTAGTATGCTATAAGAATATTAGCTAATCATGCAGGGAGACATGGGATAAGGCTTTACTTTACCTTCAGACCGCTTATCCACTTTTGCCAATCTGGTTTGGTTTCAAATTTTGGTAATTCTTTTCGTTGCTTCTTGTACTGTTTTAAAACCTGTCTCAGTAATAACGCACCGAGAAAATGGAAAGCTGGTTCTTGCCTTCGTCATGACAGTGATGTTTTTACTAGCTTTATCATCATTGCTGCCTCGGTGAAAGTTAATCATACGTACGGCCAGTAACTGAACCGAATTTTTTTATAGTTCGCCACGATTGCGGTCCGCGTGTTTAATGTCTGGTTAAAATGCAAAGCACGAGACAAGGAGAACGAGAAGAATTGCAACGCAACAAGTTTAACAAGTTCAACAAAATAATCCCAGATTCTGGATGATTTCCTGAATAATTTAAAATATCTTTAAGCCGACAAGATAATAACTAATTCTCTTCTGTTTTGTTGATACAGTTGCACATTCTTCATCTTGAAGTGGTTTTATCTTGTAATTACCATTCCTTTCAAGGTTAAAGGAGCATGCTGAATAACTGGCCAAACTTGTCCCAAGTTCTCCTTTAAACTAGGCTACAACTGTGAAGCAATACTCGCTTCAATTAGTTTGGAGTCAGCGATCGAAAGGATCTGACGATCCTGAACCAGACTTCTTGAATTACCACGGTATTGAAAATACAATAAAAAACAAAACACAGAAAACATCAACATCAACAACAACAAGCAAAATATCAGACTTATTATTGCAGTAGTCAAATGTTCAGAACGTTTACCGATCAAATATGCTATCAGGCAAAACCATACGCTCGCCTTCGTCTTTTCCTGCCGCAGCTATTCCATAATGTCTGTGCCCCATGCCACCCGAGAGAGTCCCATCATGCATGTCGAGCCCAGATAACCTCTCAACGCTTTTAAAAATAATAATAATAATAAAAACACACAAAAAATGGTTTCCCCTCCGCTAGCAAATAATAGCTTATTCGTTTGAAGTTCAGTTTTCCTCTTCTCGTTTCAAAGGTTAAAGCTGGAGTTCTCCGAATCACCTTCCATAACTTTCATTAACGCCAATCCCAGCAAGTCATTATAATAGCAGTTTTACCTCTTATCCTTGATTTTCCTAATTTGACACAAAATGAAATCATAAATCGTCTTTTGAACAAGGTTCTTGCGTATAAGAAAAATTAATGAATTCTTCATAGCGGCGCTATGATCACGAATCAAGCAGTCAGTTGTTAGGTCGATTTTAGGCTTATGTCTCCATGACAACATTTGTCTATGCGCCTGCAAAAAGCCACTTCCGTTTTACCTCAGGCCTCTGTTTCAAAGCGAGGCTCTGTGCAAAGCTATTCACGTGAAAATGATATTTTATTCTCATGCAAATGAAACTCATTTTCACAACAACGGGTTTTGCACTTAACCTACCCTGTGAGCAGAGGTTTTTCTCTTACACTGCTTTTAGCGTTTACGAAGTCGTTCGCGTGGCTTGTCAGTCGTGTAAATGATGTATAAAACCAGCTAATCACGCGACTGACAAGCGAGGCGAACGACTTCCTTAACGCTAAAAGCCATGCAAGAGAGAAACCACTGCTCGCAGCCTCGTTTTGAAAGTGAGTTATGGCCTATTGATTTGCTGTGTTCAAATCATTGTACGTAAGGGAAGAGACTTTGAAGAGAAAAGTTATGGCGAGGGAGATACAAAGAATTCGGAGAAGAAATAAGGGAAATGTTAACGAAAGGAAATTTACACAGCTCCAAAATTCCAATCAATCCATGCCACGAGATGTTAGATGTGTTAAAAGCTCTCTTGCAATGTAAAATTACTGGCCTTTTTGAACGTGTATTGATATTGTAATAGAAACTTGTGTCTGACGACTTACCGCCCCATTCGATTTATACTAATGGGTACAAAGTCGACATATACTTCAAAAATCTTAGATAATATTAAGATACAAAGTTTATTTTAATCTGAAAAAAAGCTGCCTTATCTTTCCGCAATAATACCAACGTGGCAGCAAACAGCCCCGCCCACCCCTCCTCAGACTGAGAGGTACTTTTCAAAAAGTTTAAAACTATAGAACACAAGCTCTTGTACATCGTCATAAAACGGTTTTAATAAACAAATGTTCAATAAAATTGCAATTCTTGATATATTTAAAATTATACATCATAATTAACTCGTACAGTCAACAGGATTTGACCAAGTTTACTATTCATTCAAAAACAACGCTCGGTAGTTATAAAATTAGTAAACTCGTCGTGGTTTAATAGCTTACGAGCGTTGACGCCTGTACAATTATTTATTATTCTGTTTTTGTCTTAGTTTTAACAGTGTTTACGATGGGAACGTATTCTTGGACCATAGGTTCGTTCATTTTGCCCCATATAATAAGGTAATCCGAGACAGTCTTGGATTATGGATTCAAGCTATGGACTCCGGATTTCCTTGTAAGAGTAACTTCGAGTCAGAATTCCAATCTTGAGCGGCATTACGGATCCCTTGAGGTCTGGATTCTACAAGCAAAAACTTCTCGGATTCCGGACATATGAATGACGGAGGAAACAAAACTGTTTATAATTTACTTATCAACAGAGGGATTGAAACTAATTAATGAACATTTTCATGTTAGCTTGTTACGAAAAAGTGATGCTTTCGATTAACCTTATTTTGGGAATACATTCTTTGTTGTTGTGAAGCCGACAGCGACGCGAGAAAAATGGCGTGATTATTTCGTTTTATTCCAAGCAATTTGCTCCACGAAGCAGATCATTTGAAATATATTCCACTTATTCCGTATTTTTCCTCCAGGTATTCCCGTCACGGAATAAGGTCAATCGAACAAACCCTTCCATTGTGGTCGTGCAACGACGGCTAAGAAATGTACACAAAAAGCGTGATGCACGTGCAAATTTTGATGTTTTGCCAATAAAACCTATTGCGTTTTTTTTTGCCCTTTTCGTTGCCGTCGCTGTCGTCGTTGCTTAAGCTCCCTAATAATACTAAAAGAATAATCACTAATCAAAGCTAACCCAGCTTTGCTGTGCGTTACACACTTGGCTTTGTTTATCGCTTGCTTTTTCCTCCCGGATTATCTCTAGGTTATCTGAAGACTCCTGAGCCGGAATTATCCTCGGGAAATTGTCGTATGGACCGCTATCTCTTCTTATTTCAAGTCTGGATAAATCCACTGCGCCAAGATGATTTTGAGAAGTAACGGATCTTTCCAGAAGTTCAGACTCCTTTGTAATTATCGCAGAATTCAAATTCGTTTTAGCATCACCCGCACTGAGATTAAACGAGTTTATCTCGGATTCAGTAAACAAAAATTCTTGAGCGTCAGGTGGCAGTGAGACCACTGTGTCCCGTAATAAAGACAACGAAACTGGCCTTAGCGGGGATATGGTGTCATCCTTTGGTGAACCTGTTTCTAATAACGCGTCCACTGAACCAAGAGATTTCTTTTTAACAGAAGCTGGTCTCTTAGGAACAGGCGGTTTAGGTCTGGATGGCGAAGATTTGCTCCTTTCTAGAGATACCTCGCTTCCTTCTGATGTTCGCCTGTCGGAACCTGATCGCCGTAAAGTAAAGTCAGGTTCCTGGTTGTTTATAGTTCCAGAAGGGGTGAACACTTCGCTTGAATCATCGCTTGTTGCAGTTCGATCAACTTGTTTGAGATCTACATCAGGTTCATTTGACTGTTAAACAAAGCAACAAAGGTTAATAAAGTGAAAAGGTGATCAACTTTGAAGTGTAAATAAATAAATAAATAATAATAATAATAATAATAATAATAATAATAATAATAATAATAATAATAATTTAATCATGGCGGCAAGTAGGGAGGTTGTGCTTTGAGGTAGCTCCATAATTCTATTTCATAGCCTTGCCCAAACGAAAGCAAACCAAGCTCGAAGCGTCTAGGCATATTCTTAAGTTCTTCTGAGTACTTTGCATCTTGTTTATCTAACAAGGAGACGACTGAGGGCGGATTTCTACTATTAGAAGTTGAAAGTGAAGTACGCTAAACCGAAACTATGGCGGATTTTGAAGAGCAATCGCTAAACGGGAGGAATGCGAGAGCAGGAGGGATAAGATGGTCGGAACAAATGAACAGCGACCTGTTGGAGTGCAAGCGGCAAGCGCTATTACTCGCAAAATCGGAGAATCCGCCAGTTAAGGATAATGGAAGACGAAAGGGGTATATGGAACTTATGAAAGAACTATGGGATCAAATGGGGCACGAAGATATGGGGTTTACAAAGCAGAATTTACGAGACCAAGCCGCTCGACTTGAAAAATCCCTAGGCAGCCTTATTAGTACTATCACTAACGGAATAAAAGCGAAGAGAGGTGGAGATAACGCAGAGGGGGCCTTAAACAACGGACGCCAAATAGCAAAAAATGCTGATCAAGAAGAACCGAATTTGCATACAACCCTGACCCAAAATCAACAGCGTAACAATGGTGATCTTTTCTCAGATCCGGATTTGCATACCACCTTGACCCAAGAACAACAACTTAACAACGGTGATCAAGAAAGGTGTAGCATTTTAGAGCCAGCAAACAGGATAATGGAAACAATTAGCACCCACCCTGGAGACTATTCACAACGTGACATTGACACCAGGAAAAAAGAAACACCATCAACAAAAGACTTGGAAGAAATCAACCAAGCGATTAACTTATTAATGGAGCGCTACGAGGTAACACCAACGCAGAACCCGTTTGGTTTTCTGTGGTTAGCTAATTGCGCTCTTTACTCGGTGGTTTGCGCGTTTTTGTTGATGAAAGGATGGAAAAAACAAGGGCCAATAAAGAGAGACAAACCGCAGGACAGAAAGGAAAAGCTTAAAAAAATTTACGACCAGGAGGCGGCGAAGATCAGAAAACAACTGTCAATCGCGAGAGCGGAAATCGAAAGGTTGAAAGGAAATAGAAAGATCACGAGAAAAGGAAGGAAAAATAGGTCTCACCTCCAAAAAGAATGCAAAACCATCTCTGTGGCACGTTTGATTAGCTACATGGAGAAAAAAAAGTCGGAGCTCCGAAAGTTAAAACGTGGGTTTGACAGGAAAAAGAAACAAGAGGTCTCGCGTGTGATTAACCAACAGTTTAACACGGTCCCTGGAAGAGTGTTTGCGAATTTGAGTGAGATGTTGAAGAGGGACCCAGAGAACGAGCGGCCAAGATATAAAGATCCTGGAAAACGTGCTCGAGATGATTTACGAATGTTTGAAAACATTGAAGAAGCGAGCGGGTTTTGGAGAAAGCTGTGGGAAGAGAGAGGGACTGGGAATAAGAACGCAGGAAGTAAAGCTCGCGATCCACGAGAAAGTACCGCCACCGACAGGCGACCAATTGGCTCTCGAAGTAGCGGAAGCGGTCAAAGTCCTGTCCAAGAAGCGCAACTGGAGTGCGCCAGGGCCTGATAAAATCACTAACTTTTGGTGGAAACGTGCTAGCACCCTGCACGAGGGTGTGGTCGAGAGCTTCAAAGAAGTTTCTAAGAGCGACGAAGATTACCCCGAGTGGTTTTCTGAAGGGAAAACCTCCCTCATTCCGAAAGAAGGCGAGTTCCTCAGTGAAAATCAAAGACCTATTACTTGTCTGAATAACATGTATAAGTGGTTTAAATCTTGCCTCCTGGCACCCATGGACCAACACCTTGAACATTATGGCCTGATGGAAGGCCAGCAAAGAGGAGCGAAATCAGGGTGTTGCGGTACGATGGATAACTTGCTAATAGATAGAGCAGTAATGCTGGATTTTCACAGAGGCAAAAGGAACTTAAGTATGGCATGGATTGACGTGCGCAAAGCCTACGACTCCGTCCATCATGATTGGTTATGCGCAATGACTGACGTACACAGGCTTCCCGTCTGGCTGGGTGAAGTTATACGCAAGTTGTGTGCGAGCTGGAATACTGAAGTAGTAGCTACAACAAGGCAAGGGCGAGAGACTTCTAGACAAATAGGGTTCATGAAGGGACTACCCCAGGGGGACGCTTTGTGTCCTAGACTGTTTACACTGTGCCTGAACCCTGTAGCGTGGCACCTGCGGGCAACAGAGGGATACCGGTTATCCAAGCCTATAGGAGTCAAAGTCACCGATCTCCTGTATATCGTCGACGTCAAGGTTTTTGCTGCCTCCGAGAGCAAGCTGAACCGAATGCTGAAAGAGACTAGAGGAGCGATGCAGGACACCGGATCGGCCTCCACTGGAATCAGAAAAAGTGCTCAGTGGTACACGTGAAGAGGGGAGCCCAAATGCTAGACGAGTCTGGTATGAGGATGGACGAGACAACTACCATCACGGCTCTTGGGGAAGGAAATCACTACGAATTCCTGGGCGTGCTAGAGAACGCTCGACAGGATGAACGGCTGGCCCTAGCTTGTGCGGCTAAAGAGTATCTACGCAGGATATCTATTATATGGTCCAGACCCCTGTCTGATTGTAACCGTGTGCAGGCAACTAATCAGTATGCACTCCCGGTTCTGCGGTACTTAATGTGGACACAGCATTGGCCTCTATCAGAGTTAAGAGATGTGGACAGAGCAGCTCGGAAGATTATAGTTGCGAACGGTGGCAAGCACCCAGCTAGCCTGACTTCTTTGTTATATCTACCGAGGGAGGAAGGGGGTAGAGGCCTCGGATCAGTCGAACACGAGTACAAGATCACTAAAATCAAATCGCTACTGAAATTGTATCAGAACCCGGACCAGACTGTGGAAGCAGTTAGAGAATTTGAAGAACACGACATGGCATCAGGCCACCAGTCGCTCGTAAAGGAAGCAGCTAAGTACGCTGAAGAACTCAACATCACACTTCAGCTTGATACCCTAAATCCCGTGTGTATTACAACAGAAGGAAAGGTGGTGACTGCAGCAAGAGCTGGGAATCTGTTGAAGCAATCTCAAGAGAAGCAGTTTTTGGAGATCGCTAAACACAAAAAGTGGCAAGGAAAGTTATTCCGTATCAGATGGGAAGATGAGAGCCTAAGCATAACCAGCTGCTTTGCATGGTTAAAAGGTTGGGCTACATGCCCTACATATACCATCGCGGGCATGTATGAATTGTATGAGCAGTTGTTACCTACGAAGCTCTACACAAAGGAGAAGACGCAAACCTCCACCGACGGCGAAGTTCTATGCAGGTTATGTGGGAAGGTAGCTGAGAGCGTTGCACATGTATTGGCTGGATGTTCCTCCCTGGCACAAACCAAGTACCTATACAGGCATAATGCAGCTTTGAAGATTCTGTTTTTTGAGCTCCTGCGAGAGCATGGGTTAATAGAAGAGGTTCCACCATGGTACTCACCGGTGATGCCAAAACCAGCCTACCAGAACACCACGAGTGAGGCGTTTTGGGATATTCCCATCTATGCAGAGCACAACGAAGTTAGAGCAAATCGGATCGACGCGCGACTTGTCAGCCACGAGAGGAAAGAAGTCTGCACAATTGAAATGAGCTGCCCATGGATTGAGAGTAGAGCTAAGAAAGATGAGGAAAAGACACTCAAGTATGGGCCCATGATGTGGGAGCTGAAGCAGAGATACAATGGTTACAGGGTTGAACAGTACAACGTAATAATTGACGTACTGGGGGGTTACTCTAAACACCTAGAGAAGTCGGTGAGGAAGCTACTTGGAGCGAGAGCACGGAGCGTACTTGAGCGGATGCAGAAGTCGGTCATCTCAAACACTTTAAACATTGCCAGAACATTTAAGATAAATACTTAGTTAGGGCGCTATGGACTTCAGTTTTTAGGTTTTTGTTTTTTCTCTAGAAATCTAGAAACACAAGCTTGCTGACGTTTTTACTTAGATTTTTTAGAACATTAGAGTTTGATATTATTATAAATAAGTTTTTGTAGAGATAGCGAAGGTTTTACAGAGTATCAGAATTTAATAATATTCTAAATTGGCTTTTTAAGTAGAGAGATTCATATCACTATGTATTTTAGGATCGTATTAGGTTTCGTATCGACCTTTTTTTACTTCTAAGTATAGCTCCTCAAGTGGTATAGGTTACGCTATGCGCCCTATACTACTCATAATGTGGACAGCATTCCAAAGTTTCATACTGCGACATAATAATAATAATAATAATAATAATAAAACAAATAGGATGCTTCTCATTTAACGGGTTACGATAACTTATCGCTGTAGGATTTATGTAATAAGTTACCTATTGCCTGTCTCTGAATAACGCCCTTGTCATTTCAATGAGTGGCACAACAAACATTTTTGGAATACGACGAATGTTTTCTATCCAATTTTATCAACGAAACGCTAATCTGTATGTGAAGAAGTCCCCGTCCTCGCGCACTTTAGTCCGTTTTTCAGGCCCAGTTACAGTCAAACCTTTAATACGGATACAAAAGGGAGAAAGAAAATTGTCCGTATTACATGAGCGTCTGTCTGTCTGTATTGGTTTCAGGCTTTTGGTGTCTTTGGGACGACAAGAACTGTCTGTCCATCATAGAGTGAGAGGTGTCCGTATTATTTAGGTGTATAATATGGAAAGGTTTAACGACAGTTTATGAATAATGGATGGTTGGTGATGTACCTTAGGGTCCGTTGCACACAGAACACTGTCTGCATTAACATCTGAAGAGTTTGTAGAGTCGTCTAACGAGATAAGTTCGCCAACTGCCACATTTGCCACGAGATTGGGAACACTACGTCTTGTAATCATCTTTGGAGAGGACCTGCCTTCCGCTTTCGATAAGGCTGACGTTCGAGGGCGCCTGTCTGATGCGTATGGAAATGGCCGGGGAGGAGGGGGCCTGGGCGGAGCAACTTTTGAGCCTGGTTCGATTTTGACTCTTTCAAACTAAAAGAAAACGAAGTAATGGTGAAGTTTTTTCCCGTAACACTGGATACTGACAGTGTACGTCTTATTCGGTGTATTTCCTATAAAACTTGAGTTTTCTGAACCGTTTGATATCAGTCTGGTGCCAAGGGGACACCTTGTATATATGAAGATATATATAAGTTCGATTACCAGCTGCTTTTCTGAAAAACGAGCCCGCACTACTCTCTTTTTCTCTCTCTCTCTTGGGAGGAACAGACAGACACCGGACAGAGCTGTGGAAATCGAGCCTACGTCTCATGTTGTTACAAAAGGAAGTTGAATAGCGTTCGTTGTGTAACGTTAAGTTTAAACCTTAAAACCCCTTTAAACAATTCAGACTCAACAATTTCAAAAGCCGCGGCAACTTTTCAACTTCTTTACCGCTCGGATTTCCTTCCTGGCTCACTTCACAGGACATTCAGAGTATCACTTTAGCGTGGACTTGTATAAAGTAAACCATGAAAGGAAACTAAGGTAGAAAATTGAGGCCTTATGCGCCTATTGGCACGATGAGACATGATGATGACGACGATAAAGGTAGAAAATTAAGGCGTTTCAAAATGTACTGCTATGGGTGTATCATGTCTTCTCAGATTGTCTTAACACCTCAGTTCAGATAGCTGAAATTTCCAAATAGTGTTAAAATTATCGGAATTTCGTTCTCACATTTCAAGTAGTGAAAATAATGCTTCTTTTGTTGCACGAAAGTTAATCAATCTCATGCAGGAAATCACTAGTACCTCGCCAGGCGAAATAGTTCTTCGTTTGTTAAATGGAGAAAGTTTGCGAACTGAGAAAGGTTTGACTGCCTCCGGGTTTGTATGGGCTCTTTTTTGCTCCCCGCCAGAATCGTCATCTTCCTAAAAAAAAACAAACAAACACACAAACACACGCAGAAACACAGACATACAATTGTTAAAAAACATTTCCGCCTTAAATAATATAATAGTAAAATAATACTAACATGATTACTTCAGAGGAGAATAAACTCGCGTATTTCCAGTAAGCAATAATAACTGTATAGCTATTTGACCTTGTAAACACAATTTTGAACGACAGAATGAAGATTTAGCTGTTGGGAGATTATATTGTGGACAATAATACTCTATAACACTAACAATTTCTTTCAAGTTATGCAGAGATTAGGAAGGGGAATTCGAAGGGGCCGGATGGGTTCTGGGTTCTCCGCGAACTTTCAAGAAATTGCTTTTGGTGTTGAAGAATAATTCTCTATAATACAATTTTGAACGTTTCAGCATTTATATATTTTCTTTCTACGAACAATTTCAATTGAATATAAGGAGAAGTAAATAAAATCTTCGATCATTTCGGGATGGTTACCTTTCCTTTAAGTTTGTCTACTAATCCACCTTTGACGTCAGCTAGCTGAGATTTTATTCCACTTTTCACGTGTTTCCAGTTGTGCTTGGCTTCCTTGTACCGCTTCTTCATTTTTTCCTCCGTCTAACAACAGCATTGATCATTAGTAATGATATTCTGGAAACGAATCTCTGTGATGTTATTCCTCTTAATTTTGCAGCAAAGATGGTGGTGCATGGCCGCCATCTTACATTTCGAAGATTGGCAAGAGTCCCCTTTAACTGATCTACACTGCTGTTGTTTGAGTTATCATATATTGAGGTTTTATATCACGCTTAATTCAATTTTGTTTTGTTTTCTGTTTCTTGGTACAGTCGACCCTCCGTGTGCGAGAACCTCTCCTAAGCGACCACTTCCCATAAGCGACCGCCAATCCAAAACACCAAAACTTTCCCACTCAAAGCCTTACAGTTGGAACCTCTAGTAAACGACAACCTCTCGTAGTAAGCGACCGCGAACACTTTTTGGGCCTGAAAGCTTAATGATTTTCTGTTGTTTTTAACTTGACGAATTCCCTGATCTCTATGTTCGCAGTGTGCACTGTGCTACTTTGAATCATGATACGGAGAACTTTAGTGACAACATGGAACTACACATGGCGTAACTTAGAAATTGTATGCAATACAGGCAACTTATCTTCCATAAAGCAGATGTCTTTGCAGTTTGGGTGGTCGCTTACGGGAAGTTCGACTTTATATATGTTAGTGCATCTAGAAAGCACCATCAGAACAGGTTACCGCAGAATAAACAAGCCAGAAGCTTATAACAAACAAGCGGTGCTACATTAACTTTCTTGTAAGCTACAACTGGGCGCGACTGGGATTGGTGAGAGTCAGGACGGATAAAGGTTGGGCGTTGAAACGAGCGCGTCCGAGCATAATCTCATCTATGTCATCCACGGCAAAACTAAAAGACAGCAGATCGTGTTTCATACATTTTTATAAATGCGTGCAGCTCGTGCAAGGTGAAATTATGCTAATTTCAATCTCCATAATCCTACTTTTTAATTTTGAAAAAAACATCTCATACGTCTTTCTGTTTCTTCGAAACTCCAAAATTAGTTTCCCCTCAGTTTTTACTGTTTACCTTGTTTTGTTTTAGAGAGAAAAACGGAGAAAAAACGTTACAACTAACCTCAATAAATGCTGTTTACAAGCGGTTGCCAGATTTGCGACGCATTTCGCGAATCGCCATGGCGCCTTGCACCCGAGAAGCAAAGTTTGAAGCAGTACAACGGCACTATATCAAAATATATCAATCTAATTTTTTGTTATGTTGTATAAAATTTATCCCCCTTTAACATATGTAAAAATTGAGGTTAAGAAGTGTTAAGCTTTTGCAAACGAAACGGCGAAAGACGACTAGGTGATATTTAGTGGAAGGAGGAGGTATTCAACACTTTCAAATTAAACTCAAATTTTGGCATTATACGACCAACAAGTTTGACTTATAGGCATACAGACACAAACAAATGAAACTGTTTATTGATATTGTTACGAAACGAAATTATCTATTTAACATTGTAGCCTGAAATTACAGAAAGAAAATAGGATTTCCGGTTTGCAAAAAGGAAATTTTCGCCAGCCTTCAAGCGCACCGGAAGCGCGGAAAGAGCGCTCGTGCCAGTCCTACTCCGCATCACACATTAAATGAAGAGCGGAGCGCTCGTTTCACCGCCCAACATTTATCTGCCCTGGTGAAAGTTTTGCATAAAAGGCAACTCTCTGTTAACGGAAATCTAGACTTCATCCCGCCTGTCATAGCGCGCTTAGTGCTATTCCGGCTTTGACTTTCTATCAGGAGAACATATCGCAAGGTCTGTCTTAGAGAGACGTCTTGGACTCTTTTTCTCTCCTTCTCCAACGTGATAAGCTTCCACTAGTTCCAAGTTTGATAAGGGATTTAAATCAAAACTAAAAAAAGAGAGCTGAAAAGAAGACATTGGTTGAAACATACCTTATCAAGGAACGCTCCCCCAGATTTCTGTAAATCAAACAACAACCGGAGGTAATGAAATAATTTGTAAAGAATTAAAATCGAATGGTTATATCTTTTAAGTCTTGAAGGCACTGATAAACGCAAGCTAAATCATGTCACGCCTAAAACAACACTACTAACAACAACTCTTCCAACTTTCAAGTTATTTAATCAATCATTATAGTTTGGTGTTATGGATGGTGCAATCACCAAATTACGAAGTAGAAACGATTGAAGAGGCACAAAGGCTTTACGACAAGATTGACTTCTAGGGAACAATTAACGGGAAAAAAACTGGCAGAACTGGTAACTAGGAGGTTATTTTTAAGATATTAATCTTAATACCATTGTTTCTTTCATCCAAAGTTGATATTGAGTTTTCCAACTGCCTCTATCTGCAAGATGAAATAAGTGTAAGGAAAAGATCAATCGACTAATCAATTATTAATCAAATCAACCGATCGATCAATCATTATTCGATAAATAGTGTTTTTCCCGTTAATTAATTTCACACTTTCTTTCAAAAGCAACCAATCTGCATAATAAGCGTGCACAAGTTTAAAATTTTGTTTCAAGTCGTCACTTACTTTCCGCCTGTAAACCGATCTGTTCTTCAAAGGCATCGTTGAAACCCCGTCCAGCATTTAACATATCCAACCTCTCCGCAATAAACTAGACAACATCAAAGGTGACAAACGTTAGTATTAACACACAAACCGAACATTAACAGTATTGTCATTAAAATGAAAATGAAGAAATGATCATCGCAGTGAACGCAATTAATGCAATTGCGTAAAGAAGCCTGAAAAAAAAAGAAAAATTCAGGACCTCAACGGGGTTTGAACCGGTGACCTCGCGATTACCGGTGCGATGCTCTACCAACTGAGCTATGAAGCCACTGGCGTTGGGAGCAGGTCAATTGTGGGTTCATATGTTCGTATGTCATTATTACAAACAATATTTTCGTAAAAAATTCATCAAAGATTGAAGAGTGCTAAAGAATTATGACAACGACTCATAAACAGAAAATGCAACAAAACAAAATGTACCTGTTCAAAGAGCTGTAACTGAAGAATGAACTCCAATAAATGTCTCATACTATTTGACCTTGACTGCACAAATCTGCGACGCAACAGTGAAACCGTCATAAGCCATGCAAACAAATAAAGAGTATTCCTGTCATAAACTGTGACAGCCCTTTATGCACCATTATCAAATTTTTTCATTCAAAATTGAAATGTTTGCACCTAGCCTAGATCGTCCAGTAAAATAAGCAAACTTGGCCAGATAACAACTTTAAAACAGCAGAGATATAATATAACTCATTATAGGATAATTATAACAGATCACTTACACATCTCTGTCGAAGAAAATCTTCTCACCCTGAAATTATCATTTAAAAAGAAAAGTCAAGTATTTTAAAAAGTGCATCTGCAACAAAACAGTGAACTACAAGTCACAAAGTTACGAAAAGTAAAACACAGAGAAGACGAAATCAAAAACAAATAGATTTACTGTTAAAACAGACTTAAAATTGTTAAGTTTTTAACCGGTGAAACAACACATGAACCATCCGGCTCGCTTCCTCATAGTATTAGGCCTGACCAAAGTATCGAAAAAAAAAAATAAACAATTGATGAAAAACCCTCTTTATGTCATATTATGTTTTCATTGGTTAAAAAAAGAAGAAAAACAACTTGAAACGGTTAGGGGAAATAACTACGTGGGAATGCCTTTTTTTCACACCATCCAGTACTGAAGAATTACTGAAAGATACCACAAAAAGTAGAAGAAAAAGATTCTGTCGATTCAGGGTGGTACCAGCTCTTAGCTTCCACCATTTTGGATACATGCTTCAAACGAAAATCCGTTGAATTAGATCAGTGCTTGCATATCCCAAAGGTTTCTCTTAAAATTATTCTCCGCCTTATCCTCCGCGTTTTTTGCCGCATCACGTCCCGGTTTCGCGGCTCGCTCGTTCTCACGCGGAGAAAAAATTCAGGAAAAGCACTGGGAACAGGGTGTTTAAAAACTATTTCAAAAAGCGTTAAAGAGAAACTCAAATCATAGCTCAATAGCCTCCCACCGTCTAAATATCTACACATTTGCTTCATTTACCGGGAACTTCTGAATATCTAAAAATATCTCGACTCTTACGGTCAGGTCTATAGATTTTTAGTACTCAACGAAAACAGTAATAAACATGAGTATATAAATCACCAACTTACAGGCTTAAGCTTCAAAGCATCTCTATATCCACCTATTAGCGAGACCATGGCACATAAAAAAGCCCTGGAAATATTATCATCAATTGGATAAACAGGTTTCTTGAGAGTGCTCTTAAGGGTAGAAACCTGAAATGAAGAAAAAAAAAAAAAACATTCACAAATCATAACTTCTAACCATGGGACTCTAAACTAAATTTAACGTCACACTTGATTTAGATCTGAATCGAATTTTACCCCTTGTTCTCATTTTCCCTAGGAATTTGTGCGCTACATATGGGAGTTTATTTCCTGCTAAGCGAAGTTTTACAAACATCGATAAGAAGTTTGAGATATCTTGTAATTCCTACATTGAAGGCACAATTCATGCGGAACTGAAAACGGGAGTTTTTTCACCGACATTTCCTACTTCTTGAATGTTTCTAGGAAGTTTTTATCACTCATCATTTACACAAACGCCCCGTGTACTTTCTCCAAACCGCTGGAAGTAGGTAGATTTGTGCGATTTCGAAAAACAGATATGCATCAGGGTAAGACACAATGGTGAGTCATAATATTATTAGTAAAGCTGCTTCACAAACAGAGATTAAATCAAAATTCGTAGACTTATTTCCTGCAATTGAATCAGCGTACTTAACAATCACTGAATTTCATGTCCATTTAGCCAACAATCTAGTAAATATTGAAGAGATCGGTCATAGTGTTGAATAATAATTTGTGCTCTGGCATTTTCTGCTATCTCAAGCTTAGCAAAACAGATATAGCGCAGTGCGTACATGTGATCAACTGACGCACAATAATGATCAAACTGTTATAATGCAACGTAGGTCAGTTAAAAATATTCGCAGAGCCATTTAAAGAAAATGACATCAACGTTAAATAGCAAGAGACTGAGGTACAGATGTGTACTGATTACCATTAAAAGCATGGCGCATACAAGGGATAAGCGCAACAACAGATCGCAATTTGTACGAATCGAAATAAATGTCACCGTATTTGAGTTCTGGGCCCAGTTGTTCGAAGGTCGATTAGCGCTTAACTCGCGGTTAAATTTAACACAGGTTTCTTTTTCTGCGTCTAAAAGCATTTTCTCGGGTAATTTTCTCTGTTATTTTTAGAGCTTCCAATCATCAACTTGTAGACAAGAAAAATTAAAACTGAAATGCTTTTTAAGCTTTCAAATCTGAATTCAAATCTCGCACTAACCCTGGGTTATTTTAACCCAGCTTTGAACAACTCGGCCCAGGTGACTAACCCTGCTCTGAGCGATTTTGAGCTTAAGTTTTGAGCTAAACCTGGGGCGAAAATAAGGCCGAAAAATTTTTTTCGTCCCAAAATTCAAAGTTACCAAAAACAGGAATACACTTGGTGAATTAAAAAGTGACTTACAGCATCAGCTGGCAGCTGAGAGACATCATCAAATGGACTCTCCACCACATTTGTATCAGCATCAACAATTACAACTTCATCCAAAGGCATTTGACGCACTTTCTGAAAAAGAAAGAATGGAAACATGATTTCAAGACCAGGAATAGATCGACTCCAATAAGCATTCAGTCTCAGAGGAAGACATTGTGCGCACTAAGACCAAGCTGAGCCAACTGGATGAGAAGACGTACAGTTGATTGCTCTTCAGTCGACCAATGATGATGAATTGAAGTATTTGGAAAAATGTGAAAGTGAAAAAAAAAACTGCATTCCAGCTCAGTTCAGGACAAGATACGTGTAGTGTACCCACCGGCATTAATGATGAATGCACTCCTACTAGGAAAGGCATTGGTGCACTGAAAGAAAAGATACAAGGTGATAATAGACTTGTTAATACCTGTTCAGCCTTGCACAAGGATAACTTGCAAGTAACAAGGGTTATCTAGAAGAGCAAGAGTTCTGCTTGCATAGTATCTCCTATATATTTGCTTAAATTTTTTATATAATTCTTCCTAAGACGGCCAGTGCATTAAAACAAGCATTGCTACATGTACAACATTTCAGCCTGAGTCATGTGTAAATTCCCTTCCAAGGCCAAGAGGGTATAGATGCTAATATTTGGTGGTGGCTAGTGTTTTAGTTCGTTTCCTTGATTTTTATGTTTGAGTATTTTATATTGATGTGACAAAAAGTTGCACATCCGTTTTTATACACCAACAAAAGATTTAATAACATATTGTTTCAAATGGCAAAAAATCCAGCAATAACATACTCTAGCGTGCATAAGCAAGGCTGTAACATAGAAGTTGATAAACCTACCAACAGTAGTCTAACAGATGCGGTGGCACAATAGGAACAAACATGTGCTGCCTATGAAAAAAAGAAACATAAGATTACTCTCAAGGACACATACATGTATGGGATGCAAGGAATTTACCTTATACATACGGAAAGTTCAGTGGAATCACTGGTCCCAGTTGTTCAAAAGGAGGATAATGCTCTCCACTGGATGAATCTCTGTCCCCAATACTTATCAGCTAGATAGTCATTTATCCAATGGATAGCACTACCTAAAGTTTGAACAACCAGGGCCTGCAATTTGTGCCATTGGTTATCAAAATGACAAACACTGAAATAAATTGCTGAGTCATTATTTATCTACATAACTTTACAGAATGTGATGATAAAGCGCAAATTCCTGCCCAGGAAAAAAAAAAGGAAGAAAAGAAAACAGTGGTGTGAGATTAAAAACTTACCAATGCATAGGGTACAGCAGAGAAGCTGCTCCATAAGTACATGCTGTCAACTGAAACAAAAATCATCAAAGATTTTCAGTGAGCATGCTGGACAGTGGCTATCCCATGCAGTAGGAGTGGCCTTATTCTCTCCATGGAATTAAAATAAAATAAAAAATATACTGAGATGAGACAAAAAAACAGCAATTACAATTACAACAACAACTGTACAGGATCATTAATTTTAAGATGGCCGGGAGTGGGACAGGACTACTGAATTGCTGTTACTTATCTCTAAAGACAAAATTAATGCCATTGTGACCAGAACTAGGTGTAGGTGTCTAACTCTAGGGCTATCCATCAATATTAAACAAAAGGTGTCAGTATGAGGGTTCAATGCTTGCAATACTAAGCCTCATATAGAAGTGAGCCTGTGTAATTCAAACAATGTTTTCTTCACTTTAATCTTTCCAAAGTAAAATCATCTTTAAAGTTTGGATTTGTCATCCTTAAAATGCAAGAGAAAATGCTTTCTATTACAAAATGTTTAGAAAACAAAAATGCAGAGACTACTGAAGTCTTTTAAACTAACCAAATTTAGCTTCTTGGATGTAACTATTATTCTCCTCTCAAAGAACATACTTAAAAGAGAAAAAAAAAAAACAATCAAAACATTCAAGGTGATTATCAATAAAGTTCTCTTTTAAAGTGAATACCGGGTAACATTCTTACACACTTCAATAACCTGTACCTACATGTGCACCAAAAACCAGTGACCCCACACAGTTCAAGGTTAAGCTAGTTCATTCAGCATGCTAAACATTAATGAAGGTGAAAAGATATTGACTCTCACTATTGTCAACAATACAAGTTGCAACTTGCTCATCATAACCATTGTAATGTTTTAATTTAACTCTGTGTCACTGGCTATACAGCTACAGTGCTTATACATTATACAGCAAGTTTAAAGTTACAGAAAAAAATAATGACAGCTACATAATAGCTAATAACAATTATTTAACCCATTCGCCCCTGAACCGCCCGTAACCGCCCGTGCGGATCCAGGTCCTTTCTACCCTTTGTGACGTCATCAGTTTTAACGGTCAAGGACAACTTTCTTCGCTAACTTGTCCAGAGTGAAGAGATCTTTCAAACCATACCAGAATGAGCACAATTCAGTCAAGGACACCGGAGAAAGAAGCAAAAAAACCACGTGACAAGGACCTGAAAATCTCCATGAAAATCTTGTTCCATTACCCACCTACCTTTCCTTTCACCTAATCCTAAGATCCTAAAAGCTTTCCTAAAAACTCTTCCCACCAAAATGAAGCCTACTAAATGCCCAGCAAGAGAAAAAAAAAATGAGGCAAGAAAAGCGAAAAAAGAAGGGAAGAGAGAAAGCGAAAAGTAAAAGTCAAGACTGCTGTGTCACTTTTAAACCCAAAAACTATGTCGAAATTTTGCTTTCTGCGCATGCCCGAACTTCGCAAGCTGATATTTTGCATCTGGATCAGAAGGCCGCCAAGTGTACGACCTGTAGACCGGTTTGTGGTAAGTTTTAGCTCTTTATAGCACGACAGTGACCAGAAAACCACTCGACTAGCTTCAAAACGCGTTTTTCGGCAAAATCTCCAGGAGCGAATGGGTTAAGCAAAGTACCAAGCTTTTTGAAAAAAATCCACTTTTCAGCATAAAACAACCAAATCTGTCTATTTCAAGTAAAATCAGGTGAAAAAGTTGGTAAAAGGCCATTTTTAGGTTTTTTGATTAACCCATTCGCCCCTGAACCGCCCGTAACCGCCCGTGCGGATCCAGGTCCTTTCTACCCTTTGTGACGTCATCAGTTTTAACGGTCAAGGACAACTTTCTTCGGTAACTTGTGCAGAGTGAAGAGATCTTTCAAACCATACCAGAATGACCACAATTCAGTCAAGGACACCGGAGAAAGAAGCAAAAAACCACGTGACAAGGACCTGAAAATCTCCATGAAAATCTTGTTCCATTACCCACCTACCTTTCCTTTCACCTAATCCTAAGATCCTAAAAGCTTTCCTAAAAACTCTTCCCACCAAAATGAAGCCTACTAAATGCCCAGCAAGAGAAAAAAAAAATGAGGCAAGAAAAGCGAAAAAAGAAGGGAGGAGAGAAAGCGAAAAGTAAAAGTCAAGACTGCTGTGTCACTTTTAAACCCAAAAACTATGTCGAAATTTTGCTTTCTGCGCATGCCCGAACTTCGCAAGCTGATATTTTGCATCTGGATCAGAAGGCCGCCAAGTGTACGACCTGTAAACCGGTTTGTGGTAAGTTTTAGCTCTTTATAGCACGACAGTGACCAGAAAACCACTCGACTAGCTTCAAAATGCGTTTTTCGGCAAAATCCCCAGGAGCGAATGGGTTAAGGACTCTGCTAGACTATTGCTCCATTAATAAAGTGAACTGGCGTAAAGTATTCCTTGCATAGCAACATTACACATAATGTAAATATAGTCGTAGTTAATATCAGGTAATTTTTGTTTTTCTTTTGTTTTTGGGTACGGTAATGTAGGCTAAGTTGCGGGGAACCAAAAAAATAATAACAATTACCTGAGATAAAAAATTAAGTGCAACATATATATATCTATTCAATCATCCATTACCTGGCAAAAATTAAGATCATATTTGTTGGGTCCACGGCAGCATAGTAATCAGTGAGATTTCTCTGATAAATGGAAAAGAATTTTCTTTTGTCAAGGTGGATAAAACTGGTGGTATCATTAATACTAAAAATAAACAGTGGAAACTTGACCCTTTACACCAAAAAATGCAAATAATTGGGTAGCCCTTATTATCATTAAATATATATTTTTTTTATAACATTACATATTACTCCTGCCTGACATTATTTTTTAAGGTTATGAACACTGCTGTACAATGTATACACAAATCTATTAACCCCATCACAGCTAAAACATTCATAACCCATGTGCAGATCCTTGTCCCATGTACCACTTGTGATGTTGTAATAACAAAGTCTATGACCATTACAACTGATTGCAAAATCCCCAAGAATTGACCATAGGTAAAGGTACAAAGGCGCACATGAGCCAAAGGCCTAAATGGCCCGAGCTTATCCCAGTGTCCTTAGCATAAAGCATCTGCCTAGGAGTATTCCTACTCCCACCTGGACGGGATGCTACTCCAATGCATGGTTACCCCCCAGCAGTATATCACCGGGAACTATGATTTATACACCTGGGTGAATCGACAGACAAAGTGGAGTAAAGGTCCATGTCTAGGGAAACAATGCGACAGGCGAGGCTTGAATCCCAGACCTCCAGATCCCGAATTGGAGGTGTTAACTGCTCAGCCAGGTCACACCACATGCCTCCTCCCATATAATACTTCCTTTCACATAAATTTACGATCCTCAAATTTTTGCAGAAACTTTCCTCAATTGATGAAGCCTTATAATCATAGTGAATGCATGTGCACGCCATGCATGCTGGTATTTATTATCAAGAACAAAAGGCCTGACTTATAAAAAAGCATTGTGAGAGGATTTGGTTCATTTGGCCGGATAGTGAACAGACATGGCTTGACAATCTTAAATGGCATTTTTCTGCAAAATTTCCAAGGGCAAATAGGTTAATATAAAGCTACAACCTTTAATTTTGTGACTCTAAAACTGCATGATGAACATTAAATACATACAGTACAGGTTTAATGAATAGATTGTAACTAGTACTTACATCTTCTGGTATACTTGGTAATTTTGATACATCTGGTACAACAAATGAAAACTCCTACACAAAAAAACAAAACATTTCAGACAATTCGTACACACTGTTATAAGACTACATTGACAATATTGTTCCCATTGTTTGTTAAATATAGAGATATCATGCTGTAAATGTATGGGATATGCTATAGTGTTAACATCATTTTAAAACAGAGCTTCTGATGGTGCGCGGGTGCAGGACCGCACAACCATAAATATTATTTTTTAATGACCACCTCTTAGCAGACAGTATGAGAATATCAAGGGTTTCACATATTAAATGCACTTCATGCACTTTATTTAAGTGTCAATGGATTTGGTAAGAAAGGACTTATTAGGGATCCACAGTAGTAACCTTTTCTGCCCCCTATTGGAGACACAGGAAAAAATAACGGATTCCCATTTTTGGATATTTTTGGGTATTTAAAGAATACCCATAAAAATCCCAAATTTGGCAAAGTGAGACAAGTCCCAACCAGGGAATTCCCAACCAAGTTCCCAGATTGGGACTTGTCTCACTCTTCCAAATTTGGGATTTTTGTGGGTATTCTTTAAATACCCAAAAATANCAACCAGGGAATTCCCAACCAAGTTCCCAGATTGGGACTTGTCTCACTCTTCCAAATTTGGGATTTTTGTGGGTATTCTTTAAATACCCAAAAATATCCAAAAATGGGAATCCGTTATTTTTTCCTGTGAGATGAGACCACTTTTTTACGAGGTCATTCAAGCCATGTGAAGGTCTAGCTGTTTGCAGGGCAAAGGAAGTACCTTCATTTCTCAGTGTTTTTAAGACCCTGAGTGTTGGTCCGGTCCTGGGAATCGAACCTGCAACCTCCCGCTCTGCAGTCAAGCACTCTACCAACTGAGCTAATCCTGCCATGTTTAGGCAGTAAAAAATATGTAACAAAAAAATATATACAAAAATGTAACATTAAATATATTGTAAAAATTTTCTTCACGTACATATTAACTACTTAATAATTTGTACTTTGGTGTACACTGCATTTCACTGTGACTCACCTTACTTTCTTCACTGACTTTCACTGTTAAAGGACTGCCAGGTTTTGGAGGAGATTGAGTTAAAAGATAATTCAGCAAAGGAAGAAATTCATTATCCTGCAAAAAAAACCACACACACACACATATAGGTTACTTTAAAACAGCCAGAGAAGTAAACCACAACTTTTGGCTTTCAAACTAATTAGAAGGGATGGAACTGTGAAATCATGCAATTAATACAAAGAATACTACTAGAAGAACACCAACAAAACAATCAAGTTATGCGTACCTTGTTGGTACTTAATTTCACGGGTCTTTAATTTCAATTTTTTTGTGATTGTAAAAAAATTGTGAAATTTAAGAGCCACCAAAATAAAACCTTGTGAAATTTAATAACCATGTAATATAGAATAATTCTATACTATTCAAATCACTGAAAAATATAATTATCATGTATAATAGCAACAACACATACAGGATACATGTACACATTGTATTGTCAAATACACCTGTATGTCAAATTGCTAACTGATTTTTTAGGCAAGCTCCAATTTTTTTTCCTTCAGCTGTGAAAATAAACATCAACTCACAAAGAATTCACAACATTGCTTGTCCCAGTTTATATTTTAAGAGGTTTAGACTCTTTTGAAAAATAAAATGACATTGAGAAAGCTTAAAAATTGAAATTTAATGCCCTTTGTCATAATTATTAAATTGCCTGTTGAAATAGTGAAAATAAAACCTTGCAAAATACTGTTTTGCCAAAATTGCAAAATTAAGTACGTGAAATTAAGTATTGACGACAAGGTATCACAGAGCAAAGGTCCTGTCATAAGTACTAGAAGGGCAAAGTCGGTAAAAGAAGAACTGCCACTTGACTTCCTCAAATATTTTAAGAGTAACTTGATACTGAGTATTGGTCCATCCTCATGGATTAAACCCACAACCCACTGCTCTATGGGCCAGTGCAAACCCTGAGCACTGTGGTTGACTGTAGAGGTCCTAAATAAATGTCGGCTGCTACTATGAAATAATACTTTGCTTACAGATTAATTCTTATAACACAACCCACACACCTGGCCTTACTGGTAACATTGTAAATCTTTTAATGGAAATTCAAATGCTCATAATTCATAAAGAAACAAAACAACAACAACAAATTAATGCTTAATGAGTGTTTTTGTATCTGATAAGGACACTGCTATTAAACTTTACATCCAATTTTTTGGACCAAAATAACCCCAAATTAGTGCAACAATGACTTGATCTATATCAGTGATTTTGAAGCTTTTCAAAAAACTCCCAGTCGTGTATTATCAGGATTAAAAACTGACCTCCTGATTTGTTAAACAGCATATGGTAGTTTATCACTTAAACACAACATTACTCACCTCTTTGGCCCTCTTTAAGTCTGATATCCTGTTTAAAAGCTCATAGAAAATCTTAAACCATGGCAAATAGCTGAAAAAAGAAAATTGGGGATTTTGTTTTGGCAATGTGCTTTATAAAACCAATTTACTTGCCTCAATTTATAAATAAATTGAAAATAAGAGCAAGAAAGAATTGGCACCTTTCCAGCGACCCCTATGATGATAGCTAATTACCTCAAAATGCAAAGGCAGGTCTTAACATCAGGGGAATAACGACAAAAGCCAAATCTGTATTTCCCTTCAATGTCAGTAAGCACAAATGTGTAATGCTGGACGGCTTCCCTGTAAGAAAAAAATAATCCCAACTTCTTTCAGAATTTAGACCATTCTTTTTTCCTAATAGCTCATGCAGGATGCAAAAAAAAAATAGAATAATCCAGGCGGTGATCACAGCAGAGTTTTGAAGTCCAGTGCATGTATCACTCAGCCACTTGGTATTGGATACTGCATTTGTATTTGTGGTTGGGTCAAGTCATGACAAATAAACAGACCAACTACATACATGGTTACAAACATGCAGTAAAAGATAGGTTTACTTACGAGTTTGTGACACATGGATAACAGAACTGAGGAATTGCCTTCAATGCTTCCTACAAGAACAAAATTCAGAGAATAACCTTACCATAAGTCACAACAACATGACAGAACAAAAGTAAAATATACCACATACAATCAGAGCTTAATCATACTAGAAATACTGCACCTGTCTCACAGAAACCTATAAAGCTTAGGAAAATGCCCAACAGAAGGGTGTAAAGGGGAAAAAGCCATGAAAAAGCCCGAGATTGAGACAGCTATGTCACTAAGTCATGAAATTCTAGACCCTCAACAAGGTCAAATACTCTATGTTAATAAGTCAGCGCACTAACTGACTGTGCTATAAGGTACTCTGGTACTCAAAACTAAACTTAAAACACATTTTAACTTATACGCTCATGCATATGCATTATACATGTATACTGTACTTACTTTTTCATCAAAATCTGTGGGATGAATGAACTTGATCTCTGGACCTGGAAGAAAAGGGATACTTCCTAAATCATATAACCAAAAAATACAATTACACACACAAATGAAACACAAGCCAGGATATAGCGTAAGTCCTAATTTACAAAAACCCTTTTTTATTTTAAATTTATGGACTTTAAACATCAAATCATGTATACTGTTTCATACTGCAGTCGAACCTCCATTAAGGAGGTCCAATGTTAGGGTAAATCCTATATAGGACAGCAGAAATGGTGACAAGCAAAACAAGATGGGTTGAAACAGCAACCGCAACAAAGAAAAGCACAACTAATAGCAAAAAACTGAGAGCGACATGGCTTCCTGCTGAAATTATCCACAAAACAACAGATAAATGCAACAGCAAACTACTACAATGACATGGCTCCCCGGCTGCTCAATACACGAAACAAGAGGTTTTAAAAATCAGACTAGTGACATACATAGCCCCCCAGACAAGGCAGTGAAGTGTCTGTTCTAAAAATTGTCCTTTTTATGATGAGCTACTTGACTGCATGGTCTTGCAGGTACCCCCCACCACCCCCAAGAAAGGACGGTTAGTTAATGGTGATTCAACTGAGTTTATTAAGTGACAACTTACCAACACTGATGTCACAATTTTCAAGCTACATTTTCTTTATTTCAACAAACTCAAGTACAGTTTAAGTATAATTAAACATATCAAAATTTTCTGTTGAAATCATTTTGTGGATGGTTTCCTGTATATAAATAGCACACTGGAGGCTTACATAATTTTATTTCCCTTTACTTTGGGGTATCGTAATGTATGATAATGAGTTTAAAACAAAGAGAAATAAAATGTAAACCAAGGATAAAATTTATTGAACCACAACATATACAATGTGCTATATATCAATAATTCTTCTCTGACTTGCATTCATGTATTGCATTAATTTTGATTCTTTTTCAATCATGTAATTAATTATTTTTCTCTCTCAGGGAAGAGGATCCAGCCCTCCTCATGGCATAAAGGCAACCTTTGCCAAATAAATTAATAATAATGTAGATGTGGACAGAAAAAGGGAATACTGTTGTTCAGTAATTTAACTGCATGCACATTGTACTGGCATTAGCCGGCACTTTTATACAATTATGCTAGCACTGATGAACATGTAATCTTGAAAATACAGGTGCACTCAATACACCTGCAAGATATTACCAAAACATTTAATTCTACAGGTACGAATCACAAGAATGAATTACACTAAACACAAACAAAGCCATACAAGCAGTGTACGGAAATGAAATATTTTATAGTCGGTTTAAACAATGGAAGTTCAACAACTGGTCCAGGGCAATGTAAACATATAATACTAAATTGTTAAGAGGGGAAACATCATATCATAAACAATCTAGATTTTAACTTGAAATAACCTGTTATTTGCGCACATTAGTTTTATTCGAAAATTTATGCATAAGAGGAAATTAGATTAAGTAAGCTTAATTTTCATTCATCATACGCTTACGAACAAAAACACTAAAAAAGGACGCTAAAAAATTAATAAAACTGATCATGTCACGACGATATCAGCTCTAAACGTACAGATAATTACGTGGTTCCAAACTAAGCGAAATGTTTGAGGCTCAAAGTATGCTGATTTCAACGTAGTTGCCCATTTCTCAGCTATTACACGTGAGCTAAATATTTTAACATATGCATGAAACTAGTACTTTTAAGGAATAATAACTTCCATTGCGAATCACAACTTGAAGTCTCAGAAGAAATATTATACCAAGGGTTTCCAGCGTTAAATAGTTTATTCGTGAGAATCGGACAACTTTCTGCACAATCAAACGATAAAGTAAGACAATCTTACCTCCACCGGTTGGGATAGGAGCAGTGACTTCTAAGAAACACTCAAAAATCTTTTCTGGAGATGGCCTAGGATGAACGAAAGATGTATTACTATCTCGACTTACTCCCAAAACGCTATAATATTAGCATCATACCTCAATCTAGAGCCCATTTCGTGAAAAGAAACCGAAGATAAACTGTGGATGTTTCACCCAGCCGCCATGTTTGTTTTATGTATCACTTCCGATCAGACTGCGCTTGCGTCATTTCGGCCGGAGAAGGGGAGGGGAGGAACTGTCGGAATTGACAGGAAGTTGGGTGCAACCGGAAAAAGGTCTGTGAGATTTACACATTGTGCCAGTAAATGTTTTAGTCTTTTCAATCTTTCTTTTATCTTTTGATCATTGAATAATTATGACTTATTGTACCTTTAAAGGAAACTAGAGATGTGAGAAAGAATATTAGTCAGGACGAAATCATCAAAGCCCACATACCTTAGCTTATTATAGCAGCTAGGTTTTTTTTTTCTCTCGAATCGTGCATGCAGGGAACTTTCGAGGAAGAACTATTCATTTAGTAAGTTATTATTACAAGGCTAACAAAGCTTAACACGGGACGAAAAAACGGATTTACCGAACGTCAAAGGTGAAGTCAAACGCGCGATAAAGGCCACCTTTGCACACCTTTGTACAACTTTGACGCGCGACAAATGTTTACCTTTGCTCGCGGTCAAAGGCGCGTCTTCAGGCGATAAAGGCCGTTTTTGTCACGCCTTTAACCCCTACCTTTGACGCGCGTCAAAGGTATATTTCATTAGCATTTGTACCCCTATCAAAGGCGTCGTCAAATATGTCTGAGATTCAGGCCAAAGGTGTGACAAAAGCGCGGCAAAGTTATGTCTGTGACTAAAGTCAAAGGCTTGTGAAAAGTGTCGTCAAAAGTGTCTGAGCCTCAGGTCAAATGTGTGACAAAGTTGTCGTCAAATGCGTGTGAGATTTAAGTCAAAGGTTTAACAAAGGTGTTGCCAAATATGTTTGTTTTTTTTCCTCCCCTCGCATCGCGCCTCTCGCTCGTCTCGCGCTTCGCGTGAATTCCTCGTTCTCCTCGCGTTTCGCGCGAATGCCGCGTTATTGCCTCGCTAGTCATAAGCGCTTGATATACAGGCTAGAATCCAACTTGAGATTTTCAGTCAAATTCAATTGCGAAC